CAAATCTACTCCCTGACGCCTGGACCCTGCCACGACCCGGGCCCGGCGCTGGAAATGCAGAGAGAGTTGTTAACATGGAGCCTGAGGAAACCAGAACAAAGACAGGCAAGAGGGTGTGGTGGAAGGAACCTGAGTTTTGGAGTCAGGCCAACCTCAGCCGGCCTCCTGGCTCTCCTACTCACCAGGAAGTCACCAGCAATCTCAGCCTTTATTCCCCACCTGGAACATGGACAGGAAAGGGGCAGTCGTAGGGGAGAAGCGGAGCCACCCAGGAGATGAACGAGCTCCAGCCAGCCTTGTGGGAGGCCACTGAGCAGGTAGACTTGGCTGGAACGGGACATGCCTGGTATCCCACTCTGGCCCTTGGGAGAAACAATTCACTCACTTGGCCCCAAAGAGACACTGCCAGCGAGCCAACGCAGGCCCTCCTGCCTGGGCACGGGCACGGAGCAAGGAGCAAGGCCTGGATGGGGAGCAGGGCTGCTCTGGCATGTGGCCAGCCTCAGCAGGGGGCTGCCTTCCCCTTCCCTTCCGGGCAGGGGAAAGAAAACGAAGCTCGAGATTCCCCAGCCAGCTGCATTTTGAAAATTTTCCAGTAGGAAAGGAAAAAAAAAAAAGGCCAAAGAGTTAAAAGTCTCCGGTGAGCCCTGGGCCGCGGGGTTGGAGCAGCACATCCCGGCCCCCCCCCGCCCCCCGGCCCCGGCTGGGGCTCGCTCCCCTCCCAGAGCCAGGCGGGGCACCGAGGGGCGCAGCGGGAGCCGTCCGCCAAGCAAGAGTAGAAAGGAGCACCATCCAGTCTGTCACGTTTCATGTTTTAAAAAACCCAAACTCTGTGACTTCGCGGTGACCTGAGTCCCGTGGCTGCACCCGCTGGCCCAGGGTGGGAAGCCAACCCACCGCAGTGGAGTGAATGAATGCTGTGGGCACGTGACAAAGCAGCCAGAGAGGATGAGCTGCAGGAGCCCTGTCTGCTGTGCCCCCCACACCCACGCACGCTTCTCCGGGCCCTCCACCCTGCTGGCGCCCTCTGCCATTGGCCGCGGAACGTTCTCCACACGCAAGGCTGATGCTTGGGCCCTGCCCTGCCATCTGCCTCAGAGGCTCTCCCCCCCAGACTAGCACCTGCTCGTGGCCTCCAGCTTTCCCCCTCACCTTCCACAGCAAAGGCTTCCGTGTACTCGGATCCTCTGCCCGAGTAAATCGACGTCAGGGATTTCATCTCAGGAAATAGTTCAGACCCTGCATGAAGACTGCTATAAAGATGTTCATCACAGTGTGATTTAAAATGGTGAGAGGTGACCGACCATCAAAAGAACCAGCGTTAGGATAATGCGGTGGGCCTCTGCACTGATTGCAGATTGGGGGAACTTGATAAAAATCTCAGACACTTGCCTTTTTAAGAGCCCCACAGGTGATTCTGATCCACGCCAGGGTTGAGAACGACTGGGGTCACCTGATGGGATATGTGCTGCCATCCTAAGTGATGATGTTTAAGGAGAGTTTTTATATCAGGTGAAAAAATGCTTACGACATACTAAAAGGCAAAACCAAATAACTGGGAACTGGATTGCTTTGCCAGGAGTATCTCAACTGTCTTTAAGTAAAAAACCAAAAACCAAAACCGAAATGAAACAAAAACAACCCCCAAACCCTAGAGCCTAGGTAGAAACATGCTAACATGTTGCCTTAAGTCCAGATGATAGGATTATGGGTATTTTCTCATTTCGAGTTCTCTGTTACTTTAAGCTTTTCTTTTTTACCAAGAGCAGGTGCTATTTTTTTTATAATCAGAGAAACAACTAAAGGACAAATGGCCCTGGGCAGGGCACCCTAACCTCTCAGCACCATGCTTACTGCCATCCAAAACAGGCTCACCCAAGGTACCATGCCCCACGCCACCCCCGTGTGGCCAGTGCCCACCTACCCTCATCCCTTCTTGGGCTCACATGTGCTTTGCAGTCAATTATTTTCATTAATTCTCCAAACAATCTTGCATAGGAAGTATTGTTAGCCCATCTTTCAGGTTAAGGAGAAACGCCTGGAATTAAATCTATGGTTTAAAAACCATCATTACATGGTGATGATGCTTGGCCAGAAAACTGCAGGCCCTCTGGCTTCCCAGGAAAAAAAAAGCTATTTGCGAGATGAATGGGACTGAAAGCACGACAAATGTGCCATATTTCATTGATTCTAAGACACAGATATCTTCACACCATAACATCTCTGAAATCTGGATGTGTGTTACAACTGATGGCATCCAACTGTGATTGGCAGCACCCTTTCCCATTTCGTAATGGTACTTAGAGTAATGGTACATCTTATGACTGAATGGCAGCTTAGACTCAGTGAAATGTACCTTGTTTACAACCAAACCCATCATCCTATCCTCAAAATGCTACTTTTAATGACTATATAATATTCTAGCATATGGATATATTTCAATTTCTTTAACCAGTTTCCTATTATGGATACTTAAGTCTGTTCCATGTTTTTACCATTCTCAGTACTGCTACCGGGAACACCTTCACATTACGTTTTCACTTTTTCTACTTACGGGCATCATCACTTTCTCCTTGGTCCAAATCTTGGGAGTTATTTTGACATCTCTTGCCCCTCGTCTCCCATACTTTATATCTTTGCAGATTCATTTAGTCACTTCTTGTTCATGGTACCTCTTCCTGGTGTCACCACCAGAGGGCTCTCTTCTGAGTCTCCCAGACAGTCCCCTGGTCTCTGCTTCCAACTCCCCTTTCAGTCCATCATTGTATCACTGGCCAAACATGACTTCAGTCTTACCATATCTCTGCTCAAAAACTGACATTCCCTACAGGGTGAAGTTCACACTTCTAGCCTAGCATCCCAGGCTCTGTCAAATCTGGCTCCAAGCTCTCCTACCCTTTCCCTACCCAAACCCATGACTCCAGACAAAGTGGCCATGAGGGGTACTGCCTCCAAGCCTTTGCTCACTCAGTTAACTCCACACCCACCACATGAAGGAATGCTCTTTTTCCAAACCTAAGCCATCAGACACAGGTCAAGTTTCACCTTCCCTATGAAACATTTTATGGCTCATTTGATCCTTATAACCATCTGGAGATGTAGAATGATAGGTATTCTTAGCCTCATTTCACAGGTGAAGAAACTGAAGTTTAAAGAGATTAAGTGGCTTGTTCAAGGTCGTACAGCTTAGAAGTGCAGAGCCGGGCTTTGAACTCCAGGGCTTCCGTGCTTAAACCCAATGACTTTTAGAGCCAAGTGCAAGTACAGCCATAAACTTCTTCTGAGGAGCAACTTGTGCCCAGATCATATATCCAGCAATCCCTACCAAGATTCAACAGTCTCTGGATTCTAGACACATATATGACAACAATGAGATCATTTTAAGAGTGGAAATACCTCATGTCTTTCAGTTCTCAGCAATGCAAGGGAAGGACTGGGCCAGTTATCCCAGTCTCCTTTTAGAGATGGAAAGACAACAGTATTTTTCTTGAATTATACTAGCTCTCAAATTAGCACTAGACCTGACTGGTTTGGCTGGGCCCAAGGTCAGGACAAAGAATCAGGGCTGCCTCACTTGGAGATGAGCAGGACGTGGGGAACTTGCTTTAATTAAGGGCTTTAGAGGACCTCAGGGAAGTAGTTCTAAGGAAGCAAAAAGAGAGTACATCTCTTCTGTTATGTGACCATGACATTGCCTGAAGCTGAGGCAGCTTAGAAAGTCAGGCCTAAGTGCTGGACGGGAGGCAAGGAACAAGGAGGGTGGTGGCATTAGGCTGCTGCTTCCTGAGCCCCCCACTTGGCAGAGAGTATGCCCTGGGTGAAGGGAAAACAAGGTGTTTACTATTACTCTGGGTCTCATTTAGACACATGATGGAGTCACAGTAGCAAAAAAAAAAAATCTTAACAATTTAGAACTGTGGCTCATGGGGAAGCATAAACAAGAGTCACTGTCAGAGTTTGCACGTGAAATGCACTGCCTGACATATAACTCACCTTTTGTCATATGATATAATAAAAATGCTGTGGGTTAAAACCAGAAACAAACAGCCCTGGCCCATAGGCAGTGCGACCTATGCTGGGTCCTCACACCCACTGCAACCAGGCTGGATGTGGCTGCTGTCACCCGCCGGCTCAGGATGAAGGGAGCTCTGTGCTCTTGAGAGAAAAGGGCGGTGGGCAAGTTCGCCCTGCAGCGTTTCCTCCTACACATGGTGACCCAGGCCCCCCAGGCCAAGTTCTCCATTCTCTGTGGCCAAGAGGCCAGGAGTAGGCGGAGTAGAGGGTCATCAGATGAAAGCTTCTCACTGAAGCCGGGAAAGCTGGTATTTTGTTTTTAGGGTTGACGTGATACCTTCGTATCTTCATATAACTTCCCACCTCACAGGGCAGGCAGGGGAATGGATGAGGCTGCTGAGGCTCAGGAAGGCTGAAGGGCCACAGAGGGGGATAACATTATTCCGCAGTTCGTGGCACACCATGTAGTCAATACACCAAGAGCACTTCAGGAGCACCTGAGAAGTGAAACCCCGGGACACCTTGCTTTTTCGAGTGTGGAGTAGAGGCCCCTTTAGAGGAAAAGGGCTTTGAGACACAGAGGGAAAGCATCGGCTTTGGGACTATTCAGCTCCTCCGCTGGTTAGCAAGTCATGTCTCTTCTGAGCCTCAGTTTCCCCATTTGTCAAGTGGAAAGGATCCTCAGAGAGCAGGCATGTGAGAGGTCTGGGGACTGTCTTAACACGCAGCTGGTGCTACTAGTAGTCCAGGGAGGGGACGGGTCTTAACGTGCACAGGAACAGTGAGTGCTTCACACATAGTGGCATGGCTTCCTCACACTAAGAGGAAGGGCCAAGGGAGGGCAGCCCCCTGGCCCCTCACAACATAGACGCACAACCCCTTCTGGGGAAATTCAACCACCAGATGAAGACCTGATTTCCTGTGACCCCTCAGGCACATTTCTCAGCCCTGACCAAACAATTTATAAATGCCAAGAAGCTACTCACCGGCTCAATTTTCAGAGCATTTCGGTAGCTGCCGAAGAAAGCAGCCTGGGCCTTGAGGAAGGCCCTGGCCACACCGTCACCGGTGGTTGTGGACACCTTCTTCAGCCGGTTCTTCAGTGAAGAGATCTGGTGACAGAGAGAAAGGACACACGGGTTGAGGGCAGGGTGGACAGATGGCTGGCTAAGCCCAATACATACGGAGCTCTAGAAATTCCCTGGAAGGGGGATGGGTTTAATACCTCAGCTTCTGGAGAACAAAACTGCATTCGGTATTAGGACAGGTTTCTGAAACTGAACAGAGTGTAAAGAATAAGAGCAAACACAAAGCTACTTTCTGAGTAGTTTCAGCGTGCCAGGTATGTGCGTTCACATACATTTTCTAATTTAATTCTTTCCACAGTCTTGCAAGGAAGGGATCGGCGTTCCTGTCTTACAAGGGTGAAACAATCCCAGAGAGAGGAACAAACCCAAGAAGTGGCCAATTGGAACATGAATTGAAAGTCTAATAATCTAAGCCCAAACGACACACATTTTTTTAGTTCCAATTCTACTCCCTCTTCAAATTACTTAAAAATATTGGAAATGAATGGCTTATTTATAACATATATACCTCATACCTCATACTCTAGTTATACATTAAATATATATAGTAAACACATGTGATATAGATTTATTAAACATATTATAAATTAAATGTTTATTAAATATAAGGTAAACATGTATAAATATATATTCTTATATCCTTCATTCTCTAAAAGAATCGTGGCAGTTTATAGATATGTAGTCAAGAGATTTAGAAAAATAGGCAAGAAAGCCATGGCACTGGGAAAAGCAGCCAGAAATATTTCGTGTATCAATGTAAGCTATAAGGTCTTACATGGTGGCTACAACTGGCCTGCAAATTTGACTTAAGAGCCTGCTAGTGGTCAAAGCAAAAAGAGAAACTCAAGTTGTGAGATTCTTTGGGTCCATGTGGTACAAACAAGCCACCTGCACAAATGAAAACACATTTTCCTAAAAGTGAGAACTCAAAGAGATTTCTCCTATGAATCTTCAGCGTAGGAAATCCTCACGTGTGACATGATGGCTCTTGCCCTCAACATCAGAGACAACATCAAGCTTCCTGGTCTGTTTCTAACATGCTTTTCATTCACCTCAGGATGCCGCACTGCACAACTTCTGGGCACACCATTCATACTGTGTTTGTTCCACGTGAAAAGTACCCCTGGAACCTGGCAATGTGGTAGCCTCGAGTCAATGATGATCCAACGATGGGCAAAACCAGACCTGGGCCCTGCCCACATGAAGCTTACATTCCGGTGAGGAAAGTATCAAATGACTGTGACATAGCCACCGTGATGAGTCTATGCTAGAGCTCACTGAGGAAGTCAACAAGGCTTCCTGGAGGGAATCAGGCTTGAACTGAAATCTGCAGGATGAGCTGAAGTAGAACCTGGCAAAGAGGGGAAGGAACAGTGTCCCAGGCACAGGGGAAAAAAGCCTGTGGTGAGAAGGAGTTCAGAGAACAGAAAGGACTATGGCTCCAGGGGAGGGAATGATGGAGAACATGGCCTAAAACGAGGCTAGCGGGAAAGGCAGGGGTCAGAAGTGCTGTGAGTATGGTCAGGAGTTTTTTTTCCCCTTTGTCTTAGGGAAAATGTAAACCAAACAACTGTTTTTAAGCATGCAGGTGTCATATCAAGAGCACATTTCAGGAATCTGTATGGGCTAACATTATTTAAGGATAAAATAGAAAAATTAGATTCAGGTGGTCCATGAATCACCTACAAAATTTTTTGAGCCAGAGAGAGAGAACACAGAGGGAGTGTGAGAAGGAGAAGCAGACTCCCTGCGGAGCAGAGAGCCTCACACAGGGCTCGATCCCAGCACCGCGAGATCATGACCTGAGCTGAAGCCAGATGCCCAACCGAGCCACCCAGGCGCCGGCCACCTACAAAATTTTAATATGAATGAGTGATGATCATTTTTCTGGGCATAGGCTCCACAGTTTTCCTCAGATCCGTAAAGGTACCCATGAACCTAAAAATATTAAGGATTGCTGGTCTGGGATAGATTAGACTTTAAAAATGCTTCTTGGGGGCACCTGGGTGGCTCAGTCAGTTGAGTGTCTGACTCTTGGTTTCAGCTCAGGTCATGATCTCTTGGGTCATGAGGTCGAGCCCTGTGTCAGGCTCTGCTTTAAGAGTCTCCCTCTGCCCCTCCTCCTGCTCGCATACGCTCTCTCAAATAAATCAATCTTAAAAACAAAATAGAAATGCTCCATGGGTTTTATTTCTTATTAATAAGCTTCTGACAAGGGGTTTTTATTTTTTTTTAATTTTATTTATTTGAGAGAGAGAGCACGAGCAGGGAGGAGGGGCAGAGGGAGAGGGAGAAGCAGACTCCCTGCTGAGCAGGGAGCCCAATGCAGGACTCGATCCCAGGTCCCCAGGATCAGGACCTGAGCCAAAGGTAGATGCTTAACTTACTGAGCCATCCGGGCACCCCAGAGATTTTTAAATAGCTTATTAAGATATATTTTATATACCATAAAATTCACTCATTTGAAGTATACAGTTTGGCGGTTTTTAATATAATGACACGGTTGTAGAACTATTATCCAGCCCCTAAATATTTTTATCACCCCAAAAAGAAACCCATCTTATTGTCAGTTACTTCTCATTCCCCACCAATCTTCCTCCCCACCTCCTGCACCCTGTCCTAAATAACCATTAATCCACCTTCTGTCTCTACGGTTTACCTATTTTGGACATTTCATATAAATGGAATCATACAATAAGAGGTCTTTTGTGACTGGCTTCTTCCACTTAGCATAATGCTCATTATAAACAAGGTTACTCCATGTTGTGGTGCTTATCAGTACTTCATTCTTTTTCACAGCTGAATAATATTCCATTGTATGGCTATAGCACATCTTATTTACCCTACATCGCTATCTAGTTGACAGGCGTGGGTTGTTTCCACATTTGGGCTATTATGAATAATGCTGCTATGAACATTCATGTAGAAACTTTTATGTGGAGACAGCAGAGATTTTGAGGCCAGAAACTGAACGGTGAAAATCCTGTTGCTGGAGCTTATAAAGATACGCTGGAAGGGCATATGAAGTCATGGGGCACAATGCTGGGCACCTAGTAAGTCACCACAAAGTGTTTACTGAGAGAACACTTCCTGTGCTGTTGCTAAGGGGCTGTACTATATGTACAGTGAACTGAGTGAGGGTAGGGCTAAGGCTGCTGTCCTTCTCTGGGATGTCAGAAGTCATGGGAATATGCAGAGAGGGGGTGGCTACCCTCTCTGGGCTTGGAGGTGGGCCAAGGAAAACCATCCTTGCTCTGGAAGCAGTGGGTGTCAGTATCCCGTTGACTGTGACTTCCCCATTCAGGGACACATGGCCCTGACACAGTGCCACAGTGGTGAGAGCCCATGAAGAGCATGCAGGCCACTCAGTACCCGGGCAGACTCTGCCATGGACTTGCAACTTGAAATAGCAACATGAAAACAAAACAGAACATGCTTTATTAAAATGTGAAAAATATTGCCCACTTCCCACCCTCTGAAGAATAGAAATCCTGCCTCTCCCAGGGACAAGGGTGACATTTCCATCCTTGGAACTGGTGCAAGCCGCTGTCACTCTTCTAGATCCTCAAAGGCCTTGGGCCACCTGTGCTGCAGATGATTCCTCACTTAACCTTCCCTGGCCTTTCCCTTTCATTCGGGAGGTGTTTAATTACCTTGGATTCACAACGCTGCACTTCAGGTGAGCTTCTCCTAATGGCCTCATTATCATTTTACACAAAGAAGTCGTTGCTGATTGTAACTGAGCAAATATGAGTGTGTGCCTTCCTGCCCGCCCCAGCTGGTTTGAAACCAGCCAAGTGGTCCTGGGCTCTTGGTGCCCCTGTGACCACTTAGGCCAAGACTTCTGAAGACCTCTCCTCACCCTGCAACGTGGAGAAGCTTTTGTCAGCACTTCAAACTTTGAAACTTCAAGTATATGCGCATCTGATAACTGGCGACAGAATTTCGTCCTTTAAATAAAAGTGAGGGACGAAAATCGGAGGCTTAAAATAAACCGCAGTCATACATCTAAAACTGAACTTGCCAGGAGTACTCATGGGGGTTCTGGTCAAATCATTAACACTGGGGTTCATCACGCATAACGTGGGGGTGACGGAAATGCTGATGAGGATGGCTTCCTCCTTTAATGAGGTATCAGGAGGAAGACAGAAAACAAGGGCAAGTGGATGCTACAACGAATGCACCAGCCTCTCCTGAATGCTCCCCCCCCCCCCCCCCTGTGTCCCATCGTGGCCACTGCAGCATCACCCAGCTCATCTCCTAGGCCAGATTCGGAGGTCAGATTCCATAATCCTCCTTCCCTACCCACCACCATTCTCCACATCTTATCAGCACCACCCCAAATATGTCTCAAATCCACCCTCTCCTCTCAGTGCCTGTGACCCTGGCACTGTGCCATGCAGCTCCATCCCTCCTCTCTGGCCCAGACTGGTGGAGTAGCTTCCCAGATAGGCTCTCTTCAGTGTCCCCTCAGTGCCACCCACCCAGAGCTGTTCCAGGAAGCTCAGAAACATATGAATCTGGTCATTTCAATCCCTCCATCAAAATCCTTCAATGCCCCCACCCTTGGCCATTACCACCTGCAGAAAAACATCCCAACTTCTCAGAGCAGTTAGTGATGCTCTGCTCAACTGGCCTCACTTCCCTCAGCCCCACCTAACGTATGTTGGACTGAGAGCGAATTACTATTTAGAAGCATACACTATTCTCCAGCCCATACACAGGCCGATAACTCACACAGCCTTGTCTCTTGTCCCTTCCTGTTCTATTTGTGGAAGATCTATTCACCTTTTGAAAGACCATCCAAGTGCCCATCAATGGGGGCCAATTAAGTCAATTATACCACATCCTCACAATGAAATATTGCATAGCTGCTAAAAAGTATCTGACAGTACTTGAACTGACATGAAAAGATGTCCATTAAACACTGCCAAATGGGAGGAAAAATGCAAGTTGCAGAGCTATACAGCATGAATCATTTAAAAACTTATATATATTACATATATATATTTATATATGTAGTA